TGGGTCTCTGGCGCAAGGGCCCTGCCCTCCCCTTCCTCTGTGCATCCGGGGCATGACTCTGGCCCGAGGCCTTTCCCTTCCCATCCCTCCGCTGGGCCCGGGCACAGACGCTGGGCATCTGTGGAGGTGGACTCCATGAGCCCAGCGTTCCTCGCCTCAGACACAAGCCCACGGGGACATCACGACCCTGAAGTGATATCTGAGGTGCCTCCATGACCAGGCACCTGGGGACCAGTTAGAGCCTGAGCACTGGAGGGGCCCTGGGATCCAAGGGACGCGCGTGACCAGCGCCTCCTGTTGAGGACGGGATTGCAGAGACCCGAGGGCCTCGGGACATTATCCCTGTCCCCCCCCGCCCCCTCCTGTTCCCTGACTCCAATACCCTGTGAAGGCTTATAAAGTCACAATAAGCCTTGTTTAGATGTGACCATTAACCAGACAATTAAGTGACTGAAAAGTAACCAGCTGGTGGTGCCAGAGAGAAATCCCAATAAAACCAGAGCCAAATTCAGACGCCCATCAACCCTGAGGGTAAACCAACACTCCCCTGGCAGAGTCGGTTAGATCGCCTGATATTGGCCTTTGGGGGTGAGGTGGTCTGTTCTGTTCGACTGTCACTCACATTTGAAAGAGAGACCCCAACGGCCTCCAGATTCTCAACAATGTGTGAAGCTGCCGGTTAGGGCTCTGATCTGGGGGGATGAACCTGCAGAATGACCCCGGAAGAGTTGACTTTAAATGCTCCAATGTTTCCTCAGGGGCAAGGTGTGTGCGTGGTGTTCTTAGATCCCCCGTCCCGTCTCTGAGGAAATGTTGGTGATTTCATGCTTCAGGGTTTGCCTGCTTCAAGTGTGTGGACGTCAGTGTGTTTTTGTTGCTGCCACAGTTCCTGTCGCCAAAGGGCCACTGTTTCTGTTAGGTCCATGGTGACAGGTTTGCAGGAAGGATTGCTGTCCCTGGGCTGGTCCTGAATTCAGCTACACCATCAACTTTCATCCATCCTCACTGCGTTTCTCACTAGAGTATCTTAGATTTCTCTGATGTTTGATTAATTATCTATATACTAATGGTCTGGTGCATGAAATTCGTGCACATTAAAAGGGAATTAATTAAAGGGAATATTTTAATATTGCTATTTGCTCTTTCTCTATAATAGAAGTTTCAGAGGTGAAAGAAAATTAGTAAAATGTATATGAAAATCTCCCTCCTGTCAGAGTCTGGGGCAGGCTGCGGGACCTAGAGTCTAGTCCCCGCCCACCCGCCCCTGCCTCGAAATTTCGTGAGACCCAGACCTGGCCAGCCCCACCCTCATCAAGTCCAGCAGGGCGGGTGGCTCAGCCTCAAGTCCGCCAGCCTGGCACCGGTTTCGGGGTGCAGCCTCAGGTCGTCTGTCAAGCCCTGCCGGATGAGGGGGCACAGCCTCAGGGCCGCCATCAAGCCCTGCTGGGCGGGGCATAGGTTCAGGTCCCTCGTCCAGCACTGCTGGGTGCGGGGAGCCACCTCAGGTCCCCCGTGAAGTCCCGCTAGGAGGGGGGAGTGTGGCCTCAATACCCCGGCCTGGCCTCAAGTCCCTCGGCCCCAGCACGAAGGCGCAAGGGTGTGAGCACATGACAACCATTTGCATATTACCTCTTTATTATACAGGATTATGACCAACTTATTGATGGCTTTTTATATGCTTCCACCGGGTGTGAAGGGAAAGTTTTAAACAAGTTGAGAGCCTCTGTGTTTGCTAGTCTTTATTTCACAGCAGCTTTTAGTTCACAGAAAACTTGACAGAAAGTAGAGAGAGCCTGGCCGGCATCCCAGTGTTGAGCGTCACTTCTGTGCGC